AAGCAAAAGGTTTGCGATAGGTAGTGACGCAGTGAGGAATAAAGGAAAAAGGTCTGAATTGGTTTCTGCAAAGGACATCTCAGGAGTCCTGCCCTGCAATACGAGCTTAGGAGCGAAGTATTGTTTTCAGGGTTCAGCAATCTCAAGATGCTCTGTAAGTAGCATTAGATCAGATGGGCAAAAGGTGTGAAGATCGAAGGATAGGTAGTTAATGGGAGAATATGGGAAAGAAATCTTTTCTGAGAGAGGTTAAAAAGGGATGGTGGCTCAAGAGCTGCGCTGCTGTCGGTGATTGAGCTCGACCAGATGAAAAATAAAATTAAACGAAAAATGAGTGGGCGCATCGTGCTGTGATGGCCTGGGTCGAGCATTAGAGAAAAAAAAATCTCGCTGGTTACCCAAGCTCTCCGTGTGGAGTTAACATGGGGAGAAAGAGTGTACCAGGTCGATGAATCATTAAAAAATAAAAATTAAAAAAGGTTGACGAGCAGGAGCCTCAGGAACCGTTGAAGAGGTTAAAGGATGGAGGTAGATTGTGAAAACAGGGCTCGACTGTTGCCATTGATTGATTGAACCCGGGTTTGAGGAAAAAAGAATGAAATAAAGAATGCTGGGACGGCGACCTGGGTGTAAAAAAAGTCGGCAAACAGGAACTCTGCGATGGACGAGGGGTGGTTAGAACGAAGGCATAGAAGGACAATGGAAAATGATCAAGAGACGAGAGAAGTATGGAAGGCCTATAATTGAATGATTGACAGGTAAGAGTGTTGAAGTAAGAAAGACTATCTCTGCTAATGATGGATGCTAATGATGGAACAAGGTCATTCCACCCCTTTAGAAGTAGGGAGGGAAAAGACGAAATAGAAAAAATAATTAGGGGGAGATCAGTGCGTCCTTGATTTGTTTGTCGTTGGGATGAAGATTGGAATATTGTCGTGGCGATGGACGCCGTTTTGGGGATTTAATTGTCCATTTACGGAGGCCAAGATGGTCTCATGTACAGGATCGATTTTAGAGATGATGGGGACCTCTTCATTTTAATATTGTAATTTATAGTTGTATTTGTAATTGTGGGAAAAATGGGAGGCACATTATGAGATGAGATAATTTAAAATTGATATTTATAAAAATACAAATCTAGGACTAGTTTTTAAAACTTTTAAATATTGAGAAATATCAATTGAAATAGTAATAGGTTAAGTAAAATAAAGAGCGTAATAAATTTAATTTGAAAGTTGCATATTTGGGTAATGCTATTTTAGGTGAATTTAAGAAAGGCATGTAAGATTATTAAATTGGCAAAAATGCGTGATTGAATATTTTTAAAATAAAATTGAAAATGATGAATTAAAATTTATAATTTGATTAAAATAAAATAAAAATGATAAATGAGAGTGTGAAAGTTTTAAAATTTGCATAAAAATGATATAAAAAAGGTTATAATTGATTTTAAAATGCTTAAGGTGAAAATATAAGAATAAAATTTATGGGAAAAATGTCAGAAACAAAGTTTAAAGTACCTTGAAATGGCTGATTCTGGCTGGAGTTGATCTCTGGAGATGGTTGTAGGGAAGAAGGCTACTTGTTGCGTTGGATCCGTCGCAAGAGGAGATGAGGGTTTCCTCCGCACGAGGCACGGCTAGTCTCCGAATGGCGTCTGTTAGGCGGCTTACTAGATCTTCGTAGTGGGGCTGCATGTTGGTGAGGGCATCCGCGACGTAGTCGTCCCTGACCTCCGTCATCCTCTGCATGCCGCTGTCCTCAGTCATCCTGTCGACTTTAACGGGTTCTGTAGTAATCCCGAGGTGGAATGTGCTGGGCAGTCGTAGTCGTGGGTGCGTGATGGGATTCTCGCACTGGGACAGCAAGAGACAGAGGCAGGTCTAGATGGTAACTCCAAGAGGAAGAGGTAGACCACGGACGAAGGCAAGTCGAACCACGGGCGCCGCGGATGCCTACATCGCGGATAGGGGTGAGAGACCCGACCGTATAACGGCGTGGCTCTGAAAACAGCTAACTGAACAACTACTACTTTTGTCCCAATCTTGGGGGCTTTATATACTCGGACTCTCGCCATGTTGACGGGTTCTGATTGGCTCCCATAAAATCACGCCACCTGTCAAGCGCTGATTAATTATGTCTGGCCACGTGTTCGGCCACCTGCTGACGGGGGGGAATGAACTCATTATCATAAACACCTGTTAGTCTGGGTTATTGCGTCGTCTTGGTCTTTGTCGTCTGGACTTTTGTCGCGTCGTCTACCTCTACATCTTCATTTTATTGTCACTTTGTTACAAGTTCGATACATATTTTATATAGATATGGGGTTATTATAATTATTATAAGAAGGTTGTGATCTAACTAGCTCAAAATATACTACATATACTAGAAGAATGACCCGGCTTCGCCCGAGAAATCCCCCGAGTGAAGTATCCTTCATACTGAAAGTACATCAATAATAAATAGTATAAGTGCCATAGAATAACAATACAGAATAAACACATAAACTACAGGGAAAAAAGTGTGTAATGGCAAAATTTGTATTATATTAGTGTTTAGGTATTTGATTTAATTATTTTTTGGAATCCATTTAGTTGTTTAAAAATTAATATAGTTTAAATAGAAGGCAGCTTTTCCACCAAACCCTCATTAACCTTTGAAATTGCCTGAGTTGAGTGACTGACTGTAAATAATCCTGACTGCGATGCCCATCTTCTCAGTAAGAATATAAAAAAAAGGTATATAAATATTTTTCTGTAAAAAAGTAAAAGAGCATATGGAAATATTAGGCAAGCATATGTGTTCGCTAAAGATTGCGACTGCATTTTAAACGATTTTTAAAAAGAGATTTAAACAAATAAAGGCCAGAACAAAAATTAATAAAAAATATGAAATCCATTATTTACATACATTCACAAAAGCAAACGATGACAGAATTGATGGCTCTGATACTTGTATATAGAATTTGAATTTTCACAGTAGAACTTTGTTTTGTGTATAAAAGAAACAATCGTGCCTTAGCGTTTTCATTTCCAAGTTATCCGTATTCTAGTTATCATTTAAATGGATAAATAGTTTGTCGTTTAACAAATTAAATCGTTGAAATTTGAACTTATAGATATTTTGCTTCAAGTAGAGGATGGCGTGTCGACGAGGTTCAGTCACTGTCATTGATCCATGTTTTACTTGCCGTCTCCACTTACTGGGTATTCTTCTCTTCTTCTTTCTTATCTCCACTCAATCATATTATACTCATTGCTTGTAAAGCAATGGGTGAGGTAGAATACGTCTGCCTTTTTGATTAAGACTGAGAGCACTACTCAGTAGCAGGCTGACTTGGCTCCAAAATAAATGGCCGCCTCTGACATGAGGAACAGAGTCATGTACAGCCGCTCCTAACATGGAGTACAAGCGCTATTCATCCTGTATCCCTGGATTATGAGCCGTTACAGGGTACTATCAGCCAGGCCAGCTGAACCTAGTTTTTTTATTGAGCTTGTTACTAATCCTCTTTTTCATCCGTGCTTGGGACCGGCAAAGGCGGAGTTTTCTCTCCTTCTGTTTGATACATACTACTACTCTATCTAGTTACAAAAGTGCCAGAGCTCCGTTTTATTACTTTCATTCGCTGAAGTTAGACTTTTGTAAGTTTCGGGGGCCATTGGAGCATTCTATTAATTAGAAAAACGTACCCAACGCGGGTTTCGATCCCGGGTCGTAGCGATCGAAAACCAAGGATTTAGACCATCCTTTTACCGACCCCCGCTCAATCATTCTTTAGTAGTTATCTCTTACTGTGTGATTCATTTTTGCCATTCCTAAACTTGGATAGTTCATTTATATCATTCCTAAAATTTACTTAGTACACGTGGCCATGATAATCATGGTGGGTAGTATTTGGCGACTTGCTTTTACTGTAAGTACACCACATGTCTACACCTGTCGAAAAGCAGTTCGACTTTGCATTTACAAATATGCCATAGCCCTGTTTGGTTACTTTCACTCTCTGCTGAGGTTGGACTTTTGAAATTTTCGGGGGCCATTAGAGCATTTTTTTAATTAGAAAAAAATTACCCAATGCAGTATTTGATCCCGTGTCTTAGCAGTCGAAAGCCAACGGTTTAAACCAACCTTCCACCGATCCCCGATCATTCATTCTTTCCTTTCATATAATAATTGTAGTAGATTCTTGTTATTCACCACCTTCATTTCATCTCTCCGAAGTATAGATGGAATTTTTCCGGTAGGATATTAATATATAAAGATAAAGGTTGCTGGTAAAGTGGCTAGGCCAAACCTATGGTCAAAATATAGATGAAAATAGGAGGACGCTTCTCAGTTTGTCAAAGCTGGTGTTGTGGCTTTGTCACCGACCTGAGGCCACTAGTTTACGGCGAAGGTTAATAGATGGCGCCTAGTTACAAGTCGGCATTCATTTTTATAGCTTAGAATTGGTTATTCTCACGCACACAAATTTATATATTTTTTTACAGAAATAATTTCTCTAATTATCCATTCTCTCTTCGTTTATTCAAAATTAGGAATAATTGCTTCTTAACATTAGATATTCTATACTTTCCCAGTATAATTGTTCCTTATATTTTCCTGTTTATTATTTCCCTAGAGTATAAGCAGCACACAAGCCGCATTATATTATATTTTATTATAAATTACTTTATGTATTATTTACGAACGGATAAATATGATTTTATATTTATTTTTGTTTTTATTTTCTCATTATATATATATATGTATATTATAATTTATTTTAAAGATCATAGTCTTTTGTGAGTTAAAAATTCATTTTTTACTCGTGCTTTAAATGTTGTACAAATATTTTAAATATCGCGTGAGAACGCCCTTGGAACTTTACAAAGATTTGTAACGCCTTGCTAAATGTTTATTTTTTGTTTGCTCCTGACGAGGACAAAATATTTTTGTCGAAACGTCGAGGTAATAAAAAGATTTGCTTGCCGAAGTATCTTTATTCTCAAGAAATGTCCAGGGTAGCCTAGTGAACATGGCATCGGTAAGCGGAATACTATGGGTTCGATTCCCATCTCTGGACACTTTTATTTTTCCGTTTATCATTGCTCGCCACAATTCATCCTTTCATACCTCATCCCTAAGGTTAGATATAATCGTTATTTCTCCTTAAAATAAATTTTGATTTTTCGTTCAAAAGAAACACATGCTGGATAATTTTCAAATGTCATTTTATAATGGTAATAGGTCAATTATTTATTTTTAAGGAATGTGTTGAGATTGAAAATACATCATTCATATAAGGTTATATATAAGGTTTAATATAAAATAAATATGAAATTGAATAAGGATAAATATATATAGATAAATACAAAATGTGTTGAATTCGAAAGGGCACAGAGAACATACATACGAGTACATGTGTGAAAAAATAGTACAAATGTGATATTGTACTGGGATAAGGTGCATAATTATGATATAATTATATATAATTAGTACATTTGTACTATTTTTTGACATTGTGTTGCGGTTTCACGCAATTCTGGCCTTGACTACCCGTTTCATGATTTTTCAGGATGCCTTAAATGATCAATTTTTTTGGTCGTTGAGGTACAGCTTGCACCACGCTGATGAGGGCCAACAGCCCGAAACACGTCCGTGGTTAGCTTTTCTTGATTAATCAAGAATGGGTATTTGGCCAATTCTGAAATAATTAAAAATCAACGAGAATAGATGATATTTATTCCGATATATGGCGCAAGCCATCAACAACTTTCAGTTGCACGATAAGGAGATGCCTTTTACATACATGTGTGTGTGGAAAGAAAAGTATTTTTGTTGGATGCCCAAAAAAATAAATCTTACACTATATATAACGCCATGTATTATTAACCCTTAAGACAATATATTCCTACTTTAGACACAAACCTCTACTCTTGATCCCCATTCATGTATTCTATATACAGTTATCAGAGTCATGCGTTCTGTCACCGTTTGCTTTTGGTGGCGTGATCGTAGCGAGCCAATAGGAGAGCGCCATTCAGGTTTCACCGTTTGCTGCGCCACCACGTGGCGCGACGGTGACCTTGAGTGACGTAATGACAGGGTAGGAACAATAAATCACTTGCTATCATTATCATATCTGTTAAAACTATTTTATAGATCCTTTTCTTTTGTACATAGAATGAAGATCTTAGGTGAAGGGAGACAACGAACAAGATATCGACATGGTCGGGGAAGCCCCCGCTGAGACGAGGGGGCAAAGGTCAGCAGCGGGGAAGCAAAATCACGTGGACACCCGCGATGTGATTGGTTGTTCTGAGACCCCCCGGGGACGGGGCGTCATGTGACATCATCTTTCTTAGCAGCGGATCTGGCGGACAGTTGAGTTCCCTTGCCTTGGGGCAGACGCGCCAAAGAAATACCCTACAAGCAGCGTCTTGTGGACGGAAATAAGTCTAAGAAGACATATCCCACAAGCAGAGTCTCGTGGACGGAAAGAAGTCTAAGAAGACATATCCCACAAGCAGAGTCTCGTGGACGGAAAGACATCTTGGAGGATCCCTCAAGCAGCAACTTGAGAGCGGAAAAGACAATTGGACATCGCAACGAGTCGCGACAATTGGACATCGCACAAGACAAGCCAAGCCAAGCGAGCGACGGTGCTGCCACACGAGGTACTGTGTCGACACCCCCCTCTGCCATTTATTTATACCTCCCTTCCCTGAGATTAGTTAATTTTTTTACTTTCTTTTTTGCTTAACCTTTTTTATCTTGGTTTTTAGCCTTGTTTTAATCTTTAAATAAAACCATAATTCTATATATATAAGTGTAATAGTTTTTAGCCCCTTTTGTTTAAATTTTTAAATAAAACTTTTTGTTATACTGTGTTTCTGTGCATTTATTTCCCCCATTGTTTTTCCTTTCAATCGATCACCCTTTATTTTTTTTTTAAACGAACACGAACATTTTGGTGAGCCGGACGTGATCGATTTAAAGGAAATATGGAGGAAATGGATGCAATTAAAAAGCGCAGAAAAGCCATAAGAGGTACTTTCACTAGAATTATTATTGAAATAAATGGGGAATTTGAAAAGTCTCAAATTGATAGGAATAATGTTTATTCTAAGTTTAATAGACTAGAGTCTTATTACACGAAACTTGTAGATCTAAACGAAAAATATCAGGCTTTATTGGTAGTGAAAGAAGGGATTACAGAGAAAAGTATTGATAGGGAATGGCAAGAATGCGATAAATATGAAGAGGAAAAGTTTGATATTCAACAGAAAGTCAGTGTATTACGGAATCCCGATAAAGAGGAAACAATCCCGATTGCTAGCGAGGACACTGTAATAAATGTGAAATTACCAGAGTTAACACTAAAAAGCTATGATGGCTCTCTGGAAGGTTGGTTGCCTTGGTGGGCGCAGTTTTCGAAAGTTCACGAAAATAAGAATTTATCTGATAGCGACCGGTTTTTATATTTGCGTCAAGCAATTGTACCAAATTCAGAAGCCTATCGTGTTGTAGCAAGCTATCCCGTTACAGGCGCCAACTATGATTTGGCAGTACAAGCCCTACAGGAGCGATTCGGTGACCCGAATATACAGACAGAACTATATGTCAGACGTCTATTGAATTCGGTTATATCTAATGTAAAGAAGGAAAATAGAAATTTAAGCAGTCTGTACGACGAACTGAGCAGTCACCTCCGGTCGTTAGAGACATTGGGCATTGATCCCCAGTTGTCGGGTATTTTTTTATACCCTCTTGTCGAGTCTTCATTACCTTCGGATATTTTGAAAATATGGCACAGGCATCCTTCTTCGGGTTATGGTCTAGAGTTAGCAAAACGGGAAGAGTCAGATAAAGGGGTTGGAGGAGCTCAAGAAAGGCTAAGGTTATTATTGGACTTTCTAAAAGCCGAAGTAAGGAGTGTCAACGGCTGAAATTTGTGGAAAAAGGCTTTAAGCAGGAGGAACCCTATAAAAGGTCTTACAATGATGGGACCAGAACAAGGAGCAATTTCAGACCCGCCACTGTGTCTAGTCTGTTCGGAGGGCGAACTAATATAAAATGCTTCTTTTGTGAAAAAACAAATCATGCGAGTCATCAATGCCGTTCCATAATGAAAATGTCTCCGGGAGAGAGAAATGATAAAATACGTAGTGCCCATCTATGTTTCAAATGCTTAAGAAAGGGACACATACAGAGTCAGTGCCGAGAACAATTGGAGTGCAAAAACTGTGGGAGAAACCACTTGGAAGTTTTATGTGAAGGAAATTCTTCTAACCGGTTAACGAAACCAGGAAGAGAAAATCTAAAGGAAAATGCAACTGAACCCATTGCATCGCTTTCTAGTCAAGCCTGCACAGGTCAGGTCTTGCTGATGACCACGGTAGCACTGTTAAGAGGCCCAAATGCCTCTAGAAGGGTTAGAATTCTCCTCGACAGTGGAAGTCAGTTTTCGTATATCAAACAGTCGTTAGTCTGGAGTATAGGAATAGAAAGAAAAGGCGAAATAACCATAGCTAAAAGTATTTTTGGAGGTAATAAGATTGGTGAAGAAAAGCACGGTAAATTTATGTTAGAATTAGAGAATTTAGGTAATAAAAGAGATGTGATCCATATTGAGGCGCTGGATCAACGTAAAATTTGCGACGCCATACCACCTTTGCCAAAAGGAGACTGGTTAGAAAAATTGAAGATTAAGGGCATAATATTGTCTCAGGACAATTTTAAAGGACAAGAGATTGACATATTGATTGGCGCTAACTATCTAGGTATGATTTTGACAGGAAAAATAGTTCAAGTTGAAGCAGATTTAACTGCGGTGGAAACGAAATTAGGTTGGACACTAATGGGCAATTCGCCAATTATTGATAGCAATGACAATGTGCAGCAGACTTTGAATCTGCTAACAACGCGATGCGATTTAAAGGATTTGTGGGATCTAGAAGTACTAGGCATTAGGGATCCTGTTGAAACTTGCTCCAAAGAGACCAGATACCAGGAAATAAAAGAAAAGTTTATAACAAAAATTCAAAGACAAAGTGATCAGAGATATTCTGTAGGTCTACCTTGGAAGGTAGAAAAGGAGTCAATCCCCAGCAATCTTGACATAGCGATAAAAAGGTTAGATATAAGCACTAAGAAAATGACCTCACAGAATAAGTTGACCGAATATAGTCAGATCTTTAGAGACTGGCTGACTGAAGGACTCATTGAAAGAGTCGAGGAAAATCCTCTCGAGAGAAGAGGCTATTATTTACCTCACCGCCCTGTGTACAAGATGGAATCTAAAACGACGCCCATACGTCCGGTTTTCGATGCTTCTTGTCTTGGTCATAATGGACTATCTTTGAATCAATGTTTAGAAAAGGGACCGAATTTATTGGAAAGAATCCCTGAAATGATGATAAGATTTCGGGAAAATAAATTTGGAGTCACTGCAGATATAAGAAAAGCATTCCAGATGGTGGCGATTGAAGAATCTGAACGGAACTATCTTAGATTCCTTTGGTGGGAAAAGGAGAGCGATAGAGAACTAATAGCTTACAGGCATAAGAGACTTGTATTTGGCTTAAACTGCAGTCCTTTTGTGCTGAACGCCGTAATAGAATACCATCTTCAATCAATAAGAGGCCCACTTGTTCAATGGGCAAAGATTTTAGCTCAATCCTTCTACATGGACAATTGTATTACCTCGCTGGAAACAAAGCAGGAAGTGCAGGGATTTCAAAAGGCCGCAATTGAAATTATGGACAGGGCAAAAATGGACTTACGAGAGTGGGAATATTCTCTGGAGGAAAACCCTGAAAAGGGGACTTGTACAAAAATATTGGGTGTTGTTTGGAATAAAATGGAAGATTCATTAAAATGCGAACTCCCTGACAATTTGAGTCTTCAACCCAAATTAACGAAAAGGTTGGTACTGTCCATGGTTCAGCGGATATTTGATCCACTTGGATTTTGCGCTCCAGTATTCTTGCCACCAAAGTTGTTACTGCAGCGATCTTGGGGGCTGAAACTAGGTTGGGATACACCTCTGCCCGAATGTATGGCCCAGGAATTTCGAACCTG